CGCCCCCAGTTCCTTGAATCGCGTGTGACTGTGAGCCATCCCTTCTGGGAAAAGACACGCGGGTGCGTGTGTGACCGTGTGTGACCATGTGGATGTGTGCGCGTGTCTATCTCCTCCGAGCAGATACTCTGGGTCCATCCCCCCACCCCCAACCGCCCTTCCTGGATTAAAAGTCCGGCTTGAAAAATGTCCTTGTAATGCCTCAAAGGGCTTGATGATTTCCACTTGATTCAACAGAGCGCCATGATAGCCAGATTCCTGGGCAAAAGCAGGTGGAAATGGCCCACTCCTCTCGCCACCCCAGCGCGAGCCCATGTTTGACCTGAAAAGCTTTCTGAGAAAATGAAGCCAGTCCACAAAAATCCATTGGGGACCCCTCTTTCTCATGATTGGACACGCACAGCTCTGCGCGAGCATCATTATCTCTAGATTGATTGACCCAAGTGTCATGCAGAGCGCCTTGGCCGGGGCTCGCATTTTCTGCCTGCTGCACAGCCAGATGGGGCAGGGGCCTCCCGGGCGGGCGGGTGTTTTATCCTTGGCTGTGGGAGCGGCTGCAATTTGCCCGAGTGGGACTTTGCAAGGTTTCAACTTTACTTTCTGACCGGCTCATGCACCGTTGGTTTGCATTCAAGAGACAAAAACACTGAATGAGGAGCCAGGAGACCCATGGGGCCCTGGGGGCTAGATGAGCCCAGACTCATGGAGAGGCCCACTGGCCCCCTGGGGTCCCCACATCGCATCCCTGACGTGCACATCGAGCCTTGGAGGGGGCACTGCGTCATCATTTCCAGTTCAGAAAATAAGATCTGAGGCCAGCTCAGCCACCCTAGGTGGTACAATTCAAAAGTTGGGGGGGGCACACCCCAACCTCGGCAGTCTGATGGCAAAGCCTGAGCTCTTGGTTATCCTCCGCATGAGCATGGCACAGAGGCTCCCCTGGCTGGGCTCAGGGCCCCCAACACAGGTAGGGGGCAGCTGGCCCGCCCCAGTGTGCCCACACTTGCATGGTAAGGTTTCCCAGTCCTCTCACACGCCCTTGCTGAAGCACTGGGGCCACGTGCAGCTCCCAGGCCACTGCAAGGTTCCCCCAGGGTCTCCAGCAGCTGAGGATCCTTTGGGGCAGCCCAAAGAGGCAACCTGGGTCTCTGTCCAGTCCCTACATAGGGCATTTTCTAATATGCACCCCCAATTCTCCACCCAAGCCCCCCTCCTGTTAAGCGGGGCAAGAGTGAGGGCCTCTCTTCACCTTCCCCTTTCTACCTCTGGGGCGGGTTGTGGGGCTGGGGATGAAGAGAGGGAGCAAAGACGTCTCTGTCTCTTTAGTGGTCGGCGCTTCTGCCCTACAGTGAGGGCTGGCTATGCAAGTCCCGCTGTCAAGAGCACTTGCTTCTGGGGCCTTGGGAACTCATCAAGAGTGGCTCCATCTTGATGCTGACTCTCGGCATCCTGTTCTCTGAATTCCTCTTCGTCCCCAACGGAGTCCACAAAGAACCTCACCAGCCACAAGCCCGAGGAAGCTGCCCTTCGGGGGTGGGGGTGGGACGGTTAGCACCAATCTGAAGGTAGCCCTTCCCTCTTGCAGGGGTGATTCTGGAACAGGTGAGTGGCCCAGAGTGGCCAGGGAGGCATGGAGAGACGTTGGGGGAGACGCCTCGGCCTCCGTCCCTCTTCTCTTGGATGTGATGGTGTGTCTGGGTGACCGCCAGTGCTGCAGCTCCCCACTCTGGGCTGAGTGTGAGTCTTGTCTGGGGAGGGCCAGTGGTGATGCAGGATTCAGGTTCTTGGATCTCCACACTGTCAGTCAGAGGTGGTGAGGGAAAGGTTTTGAAATTTTTATTCTTTTGGAAGATTGTTTTGTGTTGCTGAGACCCAGGAGAAACTTCAGAACAAAGAATCAGATGGAACGAGGCAGGTGTTTGTGTAAACTTAGGGTCAGCTGAGGCGAGATGGGTGTTAGCCCCGAGAGGGCAGGAAGGTGCACGCCCAGCGATGGTTTGTCTGGGGACAATAAACAGCCCCTATTTTTACATCATGTTACTGTCCCCCTCCCCCCCCAGCTCTCTCTCTACCCCAAGACTGTTTTAATATGAGTACATTTCCCTCTCAGTAATTCCCAAGACTTCGGTCCACTGGACAAACGTAGGGTTAGTTCAGCCCCCAAATAGCCTTAACAGAGTTGTAAACACTCAAATCCTTTGTCTTTGTCCACTTAGAAAAATCAGCTGGGTTGGAAAGATGGCGTCCTGGTGCAGGAGTTTGGTGGCTTTGTTGAGAGGACCGAGCGCCAACTAGGACAAGACCCAGGGCTACCTGCGCACCCAGATGCCTTGTCTTCCCTTCAGCCCCGCCTCTCGGGAGGTGCGAGACCGTACCTCTGTGTGGCCGTGCCGTAAGCTTCCATCTCCAAGAGGAAAAAGATCCCATTATTCTCTAAGAGAAATTAGACTTTAAAACACCGACTCTCAGGTGACTTGCCTTATTAGTAGTGAATTATCTCTTGTTAATTAAGATACAATGTCATTAAAGCAAGGCCTGCCGAGCATCCTACTTTGGGATGAAGAATGAGATGAACTTAGTGCCTAAAACTGCCTCTGGTGCCACCAAACTAGGTAAACAGCTGGTGCACAGCCCTCAGGCACATGAGGAGGCTGAATGGGGACCTGCACCGAACTTATCACCTCTGGACCCAGTGGGAGGAGGGAAGGTGCCAGGTCTCCACGCAGGTGGTCTTTAGAGAGCCACGGGGTTGACTCAGAAGTCCTGCGGGACAGGGCGTGTGCGGGAGTTGAAAAGGATCATGGACGTTGGCACCGGATTCGACTCCTGTTTCAGTGGGGGATGGAAACTCCCTGGGGTGGGAGGATTCCTAACAGTGAGATTCCCAAGCTCAGCCCAGCGCTTTGACTTGGTAGATCAGGGAACTTGCCTTGTACAAGTCGGTCAGGAGGTTGCGGGGCGCAAGCTGCAGGAGAAGGCTGCTCCTCCCCTCCTGAGGACTCCACGCCCCTTCATGCCGGCCCCTTTCCTGCCCTGCATTTTGGACATGATTTCCCAAAGGCTGCCTGCCGGTCACCCTGCCAGGGCAGACCTGACCCAAATGTCACCCTGACGACTAGGAAGTTTTAGGGATGGAACTCCACTGTCTGCACAGACAGTACAAGGGTGGAGTCTCTCCACATGGTAGGACTGATAGGTAGCTTCATCTCGTCAGTTCCACAAGTGATATGATAGCTATTTAATTACAATGACGCAGGTCCTGTCACAGCCCACTATAAAAATTCAAATAGCAGAGGTGATACCAGTGACCCTTTGGGCTTCTTCACCCCATCCTCGGGCAGCCCCCAGCAATCATCAGTATGGTAACTAATCTTCACATGTTTTTTTCTAAGAATTTATAGACATGTCTGCTTACAGAAACAGGTCTGTACCGTCTTGCACAAACACTATGCAATTTGCTGTTATCTTAAGCAACCTAACTTGACGATCTAATCTCAGCACAGAGATCTAACTCACCCCTTTAAACTGCCGCATAGGACTGGACAGTGAGGAGTTCCATGATGGACTGATGCAGTCTCCGACTGCGCCGTTTATTACTTAGTACCACAACTGGGCTGCCCTAGATGTCTGCAAACTCGTCCAACACTCCCAGACACACCGATCAAAATGGCCGATTTCCCCAGCCCCACCCTTGCCAGCTATTTGTAATTTACTTTTTATTTTCTGATTACCTGGAGTTATGGTTAACCTTTTGATATCCTATTGTATACAACAGCATTATTGTATACAGTAACTAGTGCTTGTAAAATTTTTGTCTTTTCGGAATTTGTAGTAATGTCCTTTGGACAAAATCTTAATGACCTTACATGTGCATTTGAAGAGAAGCAAAATTTTCCCCCAACTCCCCCTCCCCCGCGACAGCATCCTGCAGGTCCAGTCCCATTCTTAGGTAGCTTCTCTGCTGGAAAATATCTGGAACACATCCCTGAGGGGTTAGCAGCTCATGGAGGTCTAGTTCAGATGGCATTCTACTGGAAAAGCCCCAAAGAACAGCAAACCTAAAAGACCCAGAGGAAAGAGGGCAGGAGGGCCATCAACTGCCAGGTGTCTGCCCTGTGTTGCTTGTGCCTCCTGCCTCAGTCTTCTTGTCTGTAAAATGGGCCAACAGAGGACCGACTACACAGGGCTGTGGGTCAACATGAGTCCAGAGAACTGGACGATGGCTGTAAGTGATGAGGCATCTATGGACTTGGAGTTCAGTAGAGTGGATCTGAAGATTCTGGCAGAGGGCCGGCCTTGGCAGTTTTCTGCTGCTTTGCGTGTGCTGGAGGAGGTACTGGTCAGAACAGGAGCACACATTTCCGTAAGGGTCTGGCTTTATCCTCTGCAAGGCAGCCGGGACCCAAAGCATCATGGGCCCATGGATGTGTTACTGCATGACAAAAGGAAAGGGGAGCTGACCTCTCGATTTGTCAAGCAGACAATAAAGGGGGCTGTGGGCTGCAATCTCCTGCGGTGGTAGATGGCGGCGCATCACTGAGTAGAAGGTGCAACAATATGAAATTTCCTAAGTTCTACAAAGCATGGGCCTGAATACCAGCTGGATAAGATCAATTCTGTGAAGCTGAACTCAAAAGAGGTGACCTCACTACTGAGGATCTGCTTATTTTGCTTTTTTTTTTAAAAAGGGGCCCTTTGGTAAAATTTTCTTCAGCATCACAGATTTAAACTTGCACTCTATTACAAGACCTCGTCTCTGGAAACAAATAAGGCTTGCTTATAGGAGAGGCAAGCTAGCTGTCAGTTCAGTAGACAAAGGTGTTGTCTCTTTCAGAAAGATTACATTTTCTTAGCTCATCTGTACATGTAACAGACAATTTTGCTTTATCAGAGTAGCAAAAATCTCTAGTTAATTTGGTGCCTTTATTTTTTCACCCTCTATAGAACACTGATTTTGTACAGTAAGACAAAACTTTCACTTCAAGAAAGGTCAGCAGAAATACATTAGCAGGGCTGTAATAGTGTATTTATTAAAATACCCCACGATCATAAAGCCCAGTGGACATATAATGATCTCTCTCACCGATGTGCCGACTACACCATAGTGTTTCTGCCGGTGATTAACACGTTAGCAATGACACAGATCAATCATAATACTTCTGAAATGTTCATTCTTTTATCAGCTAAACCTAACGTAAATCAGCAAGAATATTGACACATGACAAGGATAAAGTCCAAAATTTGTGGAGCAGATATTAAGTAGGAGGAGGAACACTGAGAGGCAGGACATGGGGATTCTTTGTCTGGACGGATGCCTGGAGCCAGTATTCTGGACTATGAATCCTTCACTTCTAAAACGAGAGGGCTGATGGGATGGCTCTCGAAGATCTTTCCCAGTTGAACTTTCCACAATCCTATGATTCACATCATATTGGGAAGAGAAATCTCTGGCAACACTCACTTTGGCAGTTAAGCAAAGTCCAGTTCTGCGGACAAGAATACGGTGAAGGTTCCTGGGTCTCCATCTTCTGAGTCCCCTTACCCCAAGACCCTCTATCAACGAGCAGCAGTAACCAGAGCCTCCAGGAGGCGAACAAGCTTGTCCACCACAAGACACAATCAGGGCAGGTAGTTTTAAAGATCCCCAAGATCCCGGGCATGAAGAGCTACCGCGGGAGAAACAGAGGCAAACCTGCCCGTCCTCTTCGGCATGTGATAAAATGACACAAAGCTCATGGAGGAGGGTGGGTTCGTGCATGCTGACCATAATACACCATTAATTTGCAGCTGATCTTTGCGAATATACACACAAATATGCACAGAATTTTATCAATACTAAGTATAAATTCAAGGTAGAGAAGAAATGGGTGGTTAGTGTTAGCTGGGACGAGAGGGTTTCTGTTTCAGGAGGGAGATTTCATAGGAAGGAACAAGCTGGGATTCTTGTCGCTGGAGTTGGCTTCTACTCCCTCACCTGTGAAGTCCTCCTTTTCCAGATAGCTGCAGAAACTGGAGGTGCCCAAGCCCCCTTCTGGGGCATGTTATCCCTCCCCCACTTTCCTGCCCAGCTGGTTCTTTTTGTTCCAAAAGACTGAGCTGGTTTCCATCATGCTGAGACTCTGTCTTGATCTGGCCTAAATCTGCCCTTACTTCCTCCGCCTGCATCACTGTAATTCCTATCCCCACTGTATTGATATTATTCAGAATATTTAACTGTGATTTGTGCAAGAAATTCTTCCAATCCAATAACCGTGAATGCACCAAGCAAAACTTCTTAGAATATGTCAAGATGTCGTAACAGACACGATCTTCTCCTTGGAGAACTCAGACCTTCCCGCGGGACAGCAGTGCCCCCCCCCCGCCCAGGTGAGCGCCTGCGCACACCCTCACAGGAAGCAGCAGCCCTGCTCCAGCAGCCCCGCCCGGGAGGGCCTCTCCTGGCAGCAGCTCCGCACCTTGCCCAGTCTGGTCCTTTTGTGATCTGTGCAGTGGACTGATGTCTGCCTCTGAGATACCAACTTCGTTTCAGTGGTTTATGTCACAGAACGTGCTCCCCAAATTCCACAGCCCCCTTCTGCAGAACCCCCGGAATCACATGATTTGAGTTGCTGATCATGATAAAGCCCGACAGCTGCGTGTGGGAAGCACGACTGATCTAAACAGACAGAAACGACAGGGTTGACAGCAGCACGAGAGAGGAGCCCTGTAACGCCGGGGAGCTCCTGACGACCAGCGCAGCTCGGGTACAGGTGCCACCGGGAAGCAGCGCGGCGGCTCCTGGGCCATGGCCACCGCGGCCGCACCTGGCACCTGCAGCCGCTCGCAGCCGCAGCGCCACAGCTTGGCTGGGCGAACTGCAGGCTCCGTAACTACGCGACTCACAGCTCCATGGCACGTTCTACTCATTCTCAGATACTTAGAAGTAGAACTTTTAGATGTTTCTAAAGAAAATGCTCATCAGTTTCTAAGTCTAGCGACTTAGGGCAGGCTCTGCCGGCTCCAGAGAATGCCCATCACAGCTGCTCCTTGCACGGGTGCTCTGACATAGGAATTTGAAAGAGCCATGTCTGGTTCGAAAAACCTCAAATTTTTCCAGATGCCCATGGAATGAAATGTCTGCACACTTGGAAGGTGGAAAGATGACACACTGACAACTTTTAAAAATTGTTTTTGAGAAAATATGGATATATCTATTCCCAACTCTTAAAAAGTGATTTTCCTGTGCTTGTGCTAAGTAGGCCTCGCCAGGACTATGACAAAGGGTTTAGACTAAATACTTCAAAGTTGTGGAGGTTTCCTCCCCCGTAAGGCGTAAGGCACACAGCTTCCCAGTTTGCACCTGTGACCTCAGGAAGGGCCCACCTTGGGGGTCAGTACTCTGCATCGATGCGCTTGGCGATGGTGTTGAGCTGGATGTTGGAGGCTCCTTCGTATATTGTACCTAAAACAAAAGGGGGCGACAGGAGCAATGAGGATGAGCCCAAAGACGAGAGCCGGCGCCCGGCGGCTGCTTCCTGCCTGCGGGGGGCACTGAGGGGCGCAGGGCTCAGAGCCATTTAGCTTTAGAAGCCAGAGCCAGACGCTTCAAAGACCAGCTTTAAGCTACACCCTCAGGATTAGTAACAGTAGGAAGAGAGACACCAAGACAGTACACTTTGTGCCATTCTGCTAAAAGGCCTGTCGGGCATTACACGCAATTGGATGGTTGTAAAAAGATACATGCGCTTTTTTCAGGGAAGAGGGGGGACAAGAAAGCCAATGCACAGACTGTTGAGACTGAGACAGTTCATGGAACCCACCCCTGGAGGGGCAAAGAAACAAACCCAATGAAGTCTTCTTACCGATCTTGGCATCCCGGAAGAACTTTTCCACAGGGAAATCTTTGGTGTAGCCGACACCTCCCATCCACTCAATACATTTACTCGTGGTTAGTCCCGCAACCTGCCAGAAACACAGCACGTCCATCAGCCGGGGCCACGCGGCCCAGAAGCCACAGTTCCAGGGACACAGGCTCACCGACCGGCGAGCGGAAGCACCAGGCTGTTCTGTGAACTGGTGCTGCCGCTAACTCACGCCGCGCACACGTTTACATGAAACGTCCCCTTAGCTCCCAACGCTCCTATTTTCTTAAGACAACTGGGGCAGCTTGGACTCACACACTTGCTAACTAGTAACATTCCGGCAAGTATTTTTCAAGAGCCTCCTTCACCTCTGGTCCTGCCGGCCGCTGGGGGGCAGGCGGCCCTTCTGGTGGACAGGCGGCTTGGAGACAGGGGCTGAGCGAACAATCAGAAAGTGAAGCGCCGTGGGCCCAGAAGGGCCTCGATGGGGACTGCGCGGCCATGACCATGCAGCTCAGGGCAGTGGGACGGTCCCGCGGGAAGCCCGTCAGTCTCAGGCAGCTGAGGGCTGCGGGGGGCTGGGCTGCAGGGCCAGGGCAGCTGTAGGAGCCAGGGGAGGCAGGTGGGCCTGGTGACTGTGCACTTGAACATGGAATGCTCTGGGCCGGTCCCGGAGGCTGATCACGCAGTCCCTCCCGCGCTGCAGGGTCCCGCGGGCCAGGTGAGTTAGGTCGAGCTGAGGTGGGAAGGCCCACGGTCCTCAAGGACCCTTACAGGGAGGCGGCGGAGGGTGAGACTCAGAGCAGGCCATGGGACCAGACCTAGAACCGCCAGACGGACGGCGCAGGCTCACTGTTGGCTGGGGACGCCGGAAGGGGCGGCAGGCTGGGTGCAAGCGACCTGGGGAGGCCTCAGGAAAGCAGAAAACAGCAGGGAGGTGGGCTGTCCCCTAGAGACCCCAGAGAGGCGGACCCCACTGATGGTCGCTTCTGACTTCTGAGGAGGTTTAATGAAGACAAAACATGAGAGATGTGGGGGCGGGGGTGGGGGTAGGGGTGGAGAGGGAGGTAGCCGCCTGGCGACCAGCCCAAGGTTTAACCTGTGGAAGGCGTGTGGTGGGAAGACAGCCTTCCAGGGGCTGCTATATGCACCATCTCCCACAGTATCACCCAACCTGGAGCCACAGGCTCGCTGCCAGCCTCAGGGAAGGCTCGTCCCATGCGCCCACAGGGAGGGCGACTCCGTTACTGTGCAAGATCCAGTGAAAACACTATGGCAATGGCACTCTGGTGATTTGGTGATGAGAAGCCCACAAGGATCACAACTGAGATGGAAAAAGGCACAAAAAGATCTAGTGAAAATACGGAGTGCTCAGAGAATGAAACTATGACAGCTTTGCTTTTATGCTCTTCAGTTGCAGGAACTAGAAATTCCATGTTATTTTCCTCAGAAAACAAACGCTCAGCCAACATTCCCAAGAGCAGGGCTAATACATATACAGCTGGAAAAAAAAGGGTGGACTGCGGGTTTCGTTCGCTCCTTTACCTCCGATGCGTAGTACTTGGCCATTGACGCTTCTTTAATGAACGGCCTCCCAGCCTCCAGGAGCCTAGCGGCGTTGTACGTCAGTAATCTGGCAGCTTCCAGTTGGGTGGCCACTTGAGCCACCTGGTGCTGAAGTCCCTGCAAGAGTCAGACCAAGTTGGAGAGCTGCAGCTCCCAGCAGCTCATCCTCCCAGCCCTGCGTGGACAGGGGTGAACAGACTCCAGATAGCACCCCAAAGGGAATTCGCATCTCTGCAAATTTGTAGAAGGACTTTAAACCTGCAATCTAAAGTGAAACACTACACAACTTGTCGCGTTTTAGGCACATTTCAAAGTTCATGGCATTCTTTACAGCTGTCAAGATGTAAAAGACAAAAGTCACAATGTTAGGCTTAAAAACTTGATGCTTTTTATGATCAAAACTGAGCTTAAAATCCCGGCGGAGCCAAGTATGAATAGATTCTTTGTTTGCTTGAATTAAGAAAATGTACAGCCTCAAGGCATTAAAACATGTTAGCTGCAAAGTAATGAAGGGATATTTGAAGCAACTTTCTTCGATATTTGAGCAACTTTACTAAGGTGATTCATTGCCATAACCATAAAGAGGTGCCAGTCTCTTAGGGCTATGGAAAACAGAATAACTCAAATAACCACCCTAAAGAAATTACTAACACTCTGAAACTTGAAAGGGCAATTAGACATACGCTAAATCTTGGTCAAAGAAAGAAGTGCATGGAATATGCACATTAGCGGTTTGCAGCTTTCTGGAAGGAAGGCCGTAGATAAGTACACGTGTGCCTGGGTGGGTACGTATGTTTTACATGTGGGCATATTTTCTGGTGTCTGGTTCTGAGAATTTTGGGGAGCAGCAGGGCTTACGGCTGACAAATGACTGTGCCTGGGTATTTATTGAGCATCTACTTACCGCATGTCTCCTTTGCTCCCTGGGCTGAGCAGGACATTACACCAGCACGCCTTGCCTCAGGGCCTGCACGGCCCAGCAGGGGCAGACAATGAGACAGTATGATAACGTGGGATGGATGTTAAGGTGGGGAGCAATTAAGACAATTATTCGAGTTTTCTCCTAAAACTTAAAATGCTGCTATTGCTGTCTTCAATATACCTGCAGTCTACTCTCTGTGTACAGTGTGAGGGAAGGATCCAGTTTCATTTTCCCCACAAAGAAAGACTGTTTCCACTGCAAAGCTGGCTGTAGCCGCTTCAGTGCAAGTTCAATCCCTGGACAGGGCCCACAGGGCGCGGCAGACCTCTCCTGACCTGCTCGCTGCTCCCCTCAGCAATGTACTTCATCAATCTGCCTGATCTTCTCTCTGCTCTGTCTCTGATGGATTCTCTCACTGGCCCTGCATGTCTGACCTGTACCCCAGTTCTGTATGCATAAATAAATATTCTCACACAAACAAACAAACAAAAAAACAACCAAATCTCTACCCATGTAGGGGCTGCTCTGCGCCCTTCCATTTTGTCTATTTCTATGCCAATATCACTGCTCTAGAAATTGGCTGAGTCTTGTGTGATGGAATGCAGAGATTTCAATTATTTTTGCGGTGGACATTCTGTTCAGTTTCACCTTCTCCATCCATGTGCTTGACTCCAGTGACTGGGCAGGCACCAGAGAGGCAGGTGGTGACTCTGGCCCAACTCCTGCCGACACCACCCCTGGGCACGACACCTCACTGTCTGTGAGCACAGGCATGTTCGAGAACAGCCCATGACCATGCCGAATGGGCCGCTGAAAGAAACGGGACCAGGAGGCCTGGCCACCTGCCCGGAGGGCAGCAGACCAGAGGGAGGCGTGAATGCCTGTTGCTGTCACGTGACAAAGCAGAAAAAACTCTCCTGACCTTGATCAAAGCTTCATATAGATATTGCAAGTTAATAAGGCTGCTTTTTAATATTTATTTTCTGAAAGTTTTCATCACTCGCGCTGCACCTTTAGAAATGTGCTGACTGCACCAGTCCGCTGGGCCCCATGACTTCCTGTGTACACAGGCGATCGCAGGGCTCCTCAGCACTGCCCTGTCCTCTGTGCTGTGCTCACGCAGGGGCCGGTTCAAGAAAGTACGAGACCGCAAGCCGAGACAAAAGGAGCTGTAGTTTAGACACCTTGCTGGCTGTATGCTGGGAGGGCCACAGCGTGTGCCTCAGTTTCCCAGGTGAGAGACGGCAGGTGTACTGCCCCACTCAGCCTTCCCGACCTCTCTGTGCACATGCGCCGCCTGGACTCCACCCAGGCCTGTGTGCGCGCTTGGGACGCCCAGTCACTGCCCCAGAACCCCAAGACAATGCAGCCTGTCACAGGCCATAAGAGACCATATTTGGGGAGTTTTAGGTGATGTGCTTAGGAGGCATGGCAAGCTGCCACCCTCAGCACTGCTAACCAGGCCTCAAGAGGGCAGGAGGCATGCTACTCCCACCCCCAAGGACCCCCTGAGGAGCCTCGAGGAGCCGCGTCACTGGAACAGGCTGCCCAACATGCCCTGCTGAGAGCGTCTTGTCGTCTGACCGACTGCAGCCAACTGTGCCTTCCAGAAAACAAACGTGGCGCCAAGGGGCCCCGCGTGGCTCGGCTGGCGCAGACGCCTGCCCAGTGTTCGCCTTTACCGAGCACATGTGAGCCTTGTGTATGTTAAACGTGTGGCTGCTGGGCTCAGAATCACCCTGGAGAGTAGGCAGGACTATGTTTACTGAGAGACCAGGCAGGTGAGGCGCTGAGGTGAGGGACATGCAAAGGCCTACAGCTAAAAGACAAAGGAAGCAGGGCTGGCGTCCAGGATGCCGGGCCGCGGCCAGTGCGGGGGCTCGGGAAGCGGAGAGGAGACAGCCTGCAACACTCACCGCGGGTACAGCGGGTGGCACCGGGCACCGCGGAGCCCGGAAGGTCACTGTTGTGCCCGTGAAGGTCAAGGTTTTCCCAAGCACACACCCCCAGCCCTTCCTCCACTGAACCCCGCCCATAAAATGCCTGGGAGTGGACACACTCCTGGCCCTTCACTAACAGGAAGACCACAGACGCAGAGTCCAGTACAGTAGAAGGATACCAAGATCATGTACCTGGAAGTCAAATATTCTTTTGCCAAACTGTATCCTTTCTTTAATATATGGGATAGTGTAGTCAAAACAGCCTTGTGCCAGTCCCAGCATCTGTTAAAAAAGAAAATCGGAATTTTTACTTTGTTCCAAGTTGACGCTCTGGATTATTTAAGCTGTAAATTCCTGTGACAGCTGCCAGCAGCCTCAGCAGCCCCGCTGGGAAGGGGCAGGGAGGGCCCTGCCCACGAGGTGCTCCGTTACCTGCTGCGCTCGTAGGATGTGGCGCTTAGTAACTGGAGAAGGCAGCGGTTCCCCAGGCACGAGTGGATTTAATTCTAGCACTGAGGGAAAGCTTCCAGCTACTACACTCACAACCATGTTACTTTTCAAGAAACTTCTCTAAGCTCTGATTCTCCAGGCAGAAGTGACCCACAGGCACAGGGGACCTCTCCTGTCCTGCCCGCTGCTCCCCTCAGCAGTAAGTTTCAGCAGATCTGCTTGTTCTGCTCCCCACTCTGCCTCCAGGGAATCCCCTCACACCTTGCACTTCTGGCCCGTACCCCAGTTCTTATACGAAAAAAAGTGAGCCCCAGAGACTTTGCTCAGAACCAGCTCCGATGACTGCAGAGCAGCTCCCTCCAGCCCTTCCAGAAGCTAGAAGTGGAGGCTACTTCTTAGCCTGTCTAAAAAGTGTTTCGGGGGA